GTATAGCTATTCAGATCTTTCCTGTTTTGCTACTTGTGTCTTACCTTCTCCAAAAGATAATCAAAATACATTTTCTACAATGCTTATTTTCTTACCATTTTCCCACTTCAGGACCTACGATGTCTTCTTATTGTATATTACATAAAATATAAATGTCTCTTTCTTATATGGGAAGCCCTGCATCACTTGACCCACCCCCCACTTTGGTTATTAAATCAGTAAATCAGCTTTCTTTACTAGTCCTTGAGTAGACCAGATCTAGTTAGGCCATTTTCCTTATCTCAGTCTCCCTGCCCCCTACCCCCACCCCAGGACACAGACACACACTCACTCACACACTTTCCTCCTCTCTGTCTTTAGAGGAGAGGCTGTTCCTCTTGGAATGCCCTGTGTTTCATCCATATAAGTTCTATCAAATTAAAGATGATTTCTTTAAAAACCATCTTCTCTAGAAATCTGACAAACATTATCTCAGTCATGTGGTTAAAGTCAACATAAAGATTGATAAGTCATGATGATAGTATGCATCCTTGATATGAAGTGATAAAAAATGGCAATATTTATAAACCCAGTCTAATTGTAAGATAACCATCAGACAAATTTCAGTTGAAGAAAATTTTTAAAAATACCTGACCAGCGATCCTCAAAACTATCAAGTTCTCTAGTTAAGAGGAGCTTAAAGAGAAACGATTACTAAATGTAATGCATTCTGAATGGCAGATGTTAATGATAAGGGAAGCTGGTGCAGGTTTATGGAAACTACCTGTAAAAAATAAAATCATCTTCTCCAAAAAACTGAGACTAGGTTTTATCCCACAGTGAGCTTCTAAATAATCTTGGAATATATAATCTCTGTGTAATCTTGGAATCCCAGAACTGGATTCAGTCACACCTCACATTGAGTTTGAACTGCCCCCCACAGCAGCCTTGAGGGATTCATTCTTTCCTCAAACTTGGTACTGGACCAGCACTCTCTGAGAGACTGTGGGTGCAAAGATGAAACAAGAAAGTGCCTATTCTCAAGAAACCTACATTCTAATAGGGGAGTAAGACAAAGTTGATTACAAAGCAGGAAAGGGGAAGGGACAGACCACCGCTGTACCAGGCAGGGTGGTGCCACAGCAGAGAGACTAAATCTGAGCAATAGGGAGTGATGCTTGGTCCTGAGGGGTGAGTAGGAAGGAAGTGTGCAGCAAACAAGCCAGAAAAACATTCCCAGGAAGGCAGCCACACAGAATGGTCTTTCTCTTTCTGAATTTCTCTCTAGCACATTTGCATCAGTTGGCCTCAAACCACCCTGCACTTGTTGGTACATTACCTAGAAATCAATTTCTTGTTTAACAAATATCGTGATATCCTCCAAACAGAAGATACGTTTTTTAAGTAGAAGGGTTATGTGTTCTGTTGCCTTTGTATCCCTCATATTGCCTTAGTAATGTCAAGCATAACGTAGGGGCTACTTTGTGTTTTGTTTTAAGGTAATGGGTTACTTAGACCCATTGTATGATGGGATTGCCCTGCTTGTCCAGCATTCTGAATGCCAACCTTTTATTTCTCCCTGCCTCCGTCTCCTGTATCTATCCTTCCATTTACTTCTGTGATGACCAACACTGTGTACACACAAGATGACCAGTCCATATTATGAAAATCTTTGGCTATAGAATAAAGTAGAACTAACTGGACTATATGGAAATGGAAGCTGTGGTCTTGAACTTCCAGACTGATGGTTTAAAGAAGTCAGTTAACCAGTCACAGGTCGCAGGAGCTACATATTTAGTTGTTGAATGATTTGAATAATACCTTTATAGTATTCTAGACATAAGTTATTAGCATTCTGAGCTTGACAAGTCATCAAAAAGGAATTATTTCCTTATCAGTGATACTTATTAAGACCCTTAGGATCTTGAAACAGGTTTGCCTTTGCTCTGTAACTCCACTCACTACCACCTCCCCTCAAAATATTTGGTTGTAGTGTGGCAAAGTGAAACAGAATAGAGTATTTGAAGATTGTGGGAGAAGAGAGGTCGGTGGCAGTTTTTTTCTTTTATGATACATGTGATAGATGCTGCAGCTGATTGTCCCCTAATATCTGTTTGTCCTTCTTCCATATTATTAGAACCCCTGATTTCTAGCTGGGCATGTAGTTACCCCCAATTAATATTCAATTTCCCACACTCCCTCGAAACATGTGGCTATGTGATTAAATTCAAGCAAAGAGATCTTGGAGGAAGTGATCTAAGCAGCTGCTGGGTTGAGTCCATTAAGGGAACATGGTCTCCCCTTCCTAGTAATTTTTTCACCTTCCCACTGGCTGTCATGTGGCTGTGATGGTTAGCTTACCTGGACCTTAGAGATGAGGGTAACACCTTTGAGGTGGAAGAAAAACAAGATAAAGCAGTCTCCCTTATCTGCGAGGATGTGTTCCAAGACCCCCAGTAGATGCTTGAAACTGCCGATAGTACCAAACCCTATATATGCTATGTTTTTTCCTATACATACATACCTGCGATAAAGTGTAGTTTAATCAGTTAGCCACAGTAAGAGATAATAATAACTGCTAATAAAATAGAACAACTGTAACAATATACTGTAATAAAAGTCATGGGAATGTAGGCTCTCTCTCTCATAACCCATCTGATAACCAAGGTAGCTACTGAATGACTCAGGGGTGGTGGGTACTGTATATAGCGTGCATACTCTGGACAAAGGGATGATTCACATCCTCAGTGGGTCAGAACAGAATGGCATGCATTTAAAACTTATGAACTGTTTATTTCTGGAATTTTCCATTTAATATATTTGGACCACTGTTGACCGAGGGTAACTGAAAACATGGACGTGAAATGTGGATAAGGGCACACTACTGTAGAAGAAAGCCGGGGACCTGACTGAAGCTACCAGGTTAATCCTAAACTACTTATGCTCAGAGCTGTTATGTCAGAGAGAAATAATTGTCCTTTTTAAACAATGATCGTTTTAGGTCTCTGTTTCAGCAGCTAACTAATATGTTGGGGAATAAAAACGTTGTGAGGTTCAAACTGTCAGCTGAGTGATATGAATAAGATGAGAAACATACTTTTAAAGATATTTAATAAGAATTTTTTTCAAATCAGTACAAAAATTTAAATACAAAAATGATTTGCTATCGACAAGTCTCAAATCTGTCATGGAAACTCGAAAAAGTTACCAGTCTGTTCACTGCTCATGGATTCTGTGAAATATTTGAGAACAGTCACCCACTGCAAACATTTTTTTCCCCTTGTAGGATGTCACACTGCTTAAAACTCTGTATTTAAATAACAATAATGCCAGTTGTGTCCTTTAATACAAGGAAAAGTTCTAGTTAATTTTGAATTAAATAGAGATTGTAGAACTAACCCTAGACTTCAGAATGCATGGTTGTTTATTCTGGTTTTACACTGATGTGTTATCATGATGTGCAGCACTCAAAAGAGAAACACAGACACATAGATAATTATTTAAAACTCTTTTTTAAATTAAATGGAGTAATTCATTTGCTCTGAGATTAGCACCATTGTAGAATACACAGTATCTGGCATAGATTTTGCTCCTCCCCCATCTAAAAGTTAGAAGCATATGCCTGATAATACACACACACACACACACACACACACACACACACACATATATAGGCAATTGAGTAACAACCAATAAATAAGTTGGAAGGTATTCTGAAAAGTGAAATTTGGTTTTATCTAAATAGGTACTTTCTCACTTAGTTGCTGGAATAAGAAGCCCATACATGTACAGATAAATACAGTTTTACAAATCAGCTGATCTGACTTGCTTCCAAGCCATTTCAATGCAGCTGTTCAGCAGAAGGAGCCCAAAGGATCCACGTTGCCCCATAGTCATCAGTCCAAACCAGCATCCTCAAGACTAACCCAAAGGATATTTGGCCACATAAATTCTGTCTTCTTTGAAAATAAAGGTTGGGTAGGATATCTTTTTGATAGTAAAATTTTGTCATATAATTAGCAGTGATTAAGAAACCCTATAGTGATGAACTCATTTCTCTTTTTAAGAAATTGAGAAGAAATGGTGCTCGTATACCATTTAAGGGAAAAAAACAGATGTTAGGTTGAGGAGAATTTTCTTGATGGTTAAAATAATTCAGATTTGACATAGACACATTTCCATGTATGTTTATACCGTATTTATTTGTGTCATTTCCCATTTGTAACTATCCCCTCAATTCCTCATTCTTAATTTTGAGGAAAGGATATAAGATACCAGGATGATAACCCCACATTATTTTCCCCAGTGATTTAGTGACAGCAGTAGACCCATAGCTGAGTTGAAATTCTTTGTCTGTGCTTTGAGAGCAGATTTGAATACCAGAAGCAGTTAGTATGTACCTAAGTGAAAATCTGGAACAATATTTACTTCTCCCTTTAAATATGTGTTGACTCTTGCCTTGTGCTGAGTATGGAGTGACATGAAAAGCATGGGCTATCATTGCCCTTTGACATTAAAGCTTTTCCACAAACTGCTTCTAAAGAAACAGTTCTTTTCCTATAATTTTAGTACCTACACCAGGAAGTGTAGTACATCTACTTTTAAATTTAAAACTTCAGAAGTTATGTTTTCAAAAACATTATTTTCCTATATAATTCTGAAAATCTACACCTTCCCTCACGCCCCAAAAATAAAGGATGGTGTGGATTTTGGAAATTGACTTTGGAACCTCAGATGACACACTGACTTGCAGGTGTGCTACACAGGAAAACTTCTTCAAAATCCAACAGCTACTAAAAATATATATCCCCTTTATTTGTGTGTATAGACAAAGGAAGGAGATTTTTATATGTATGTAAACACAATAAATAACTGCTATTAATGATAAGCATTCCACAAAACTGGACATTTATGGGGGGAGAGGGTTATTTTTTTTTCTTATGACTTCCAGGTATTTATATTGGTTGGGTTATAATGGAAACTACACAGAAGGAAGAAAAATAAAAAAAGAAGCAGGAAAAAAAAAAGGCCAAAAAGAACCCTTGAGGAATAAATGAATAAATGAGTGAATCACTGCTACTATCTCCCAACTGGTTGTTAGCTGCTTGTGGGGCACTGTCTCAAGCCCCATGGAAGTGCCCCACCCAGCGCCGGAAACAGAGGGCACTAACACACGATGGCTGACTGCTTCTTCCAGAGACAGGACTCCTGTTGCCAAAGGACACAGCCTCTGACAGGAGAGAAATAGCCCTTGCAACTAAAGCCCTACCATGGCCCCCGACCCGCTCCCACCAGGGCAGTGACACTACCCCACATTCTGTGGCAAAATACCTGCACAAATACAGGGGAAATTACGCAAGTAAATACGGTATGTAATTGTTTTCACTGACCTTTCTTTAAGCCATATTTGTAAATATTTAAAAGTAAACAATATGAGTGACTTTCATTAGCTATGATCTTTCATACTGAAATGTTTTCACTGATTTGAATAAGCAGGTTATCGTGGAAGCACACAACACAACAGCTAATATGATTCCAGTGGGTACAACACAAGTGTCAGTACTTGATACATACATCTGTCCCATCGTGTTCCATGACAAGATGCTGTGCGGAGCTTTCAACATGCATCTTAACTTTTATTTGTACATGATGGTTTAAACTTTCACTTAAATATAACTTTCCAACTATATAAATGTTTTGAAGCAATTATGGTTTTCATTTGGATTTTTTTGGTGCATCATTTTCTTTTCTTCTATTAAATCTCTCTCTCTATTTCTTTTCTTTTTTACATGGGATACAATAAATATCCTGAAAAGGAGGAGTGGACGTACTGCCCAGCGTACAGTCCCGCGGCCTGTTCTGAGGGCATCTGGAGGAACACCCGGTCTCCAGGCCTGAGCAGCAGCACCGCGCTCCCCGACGCCTGGTCCAGGAAGCCCTTCTTGTACTCGTCGTACGTGTACATCATGGGCTCGTTGTTCTTGAACAGAGCAACCCATACGTTGCCTCCCTTGCAGTGAACGTGGTACGCAAAGTAGTAGACGCCCGGGACTTCGCAGGTGAAGATGCCCGTCTGCGGGTTGTAGTTCTGTCTGCCATTATAGAGCAGTTTGTCAAACTTCACGGGGGCCCCCACGGGTGGGAAAGGGGCAGTCAGCTCAGCGGTAAATGCAGGCATCTCGTAGGCTGGCCCTCCGTTCTTGCCTTTCTTAGCCCCATAGGCATGGGGTGGTTTCACTCCATCAATTCCCAGGCCCATATCTGGCAGATATTCTCCATGGGGAGGTGGGGTAGGGGGCATCACGGCTGGGGGGCCAGGGGGGCCTGGAGGGCCTGGGGGCCCTGGAAGGCCAGGCTGGCCTTGAGGACCTAGTGCTCCAGGCTTTCCTGGGGGACCATGAAGTCCTGCTACTCCAGGCTTCCCTACTCCAGGGAACCCAGGGGGCCCTGGGATGCCTGGTTCCCCTTTGGGGCCTGGAATTCCAGGTGGTCCAATGGGGCCACTAGGGCCTGCAATACCAGGGATACCTGGGGGGCCCTGTAAACCCTGATCCCCTGGGATGCCTGGTTCTCCCTTTGGTCCAAGCAGTCCTGGAGCACCCGGGAGCCCTGGCAAACCTTTGTGCCCAGCTTCCCCCTTGGGCCCTATGGGACCTGGCAAACCCCTTATTCCAGGGGGTCCCACTTCACCAAGGAAACCTGGCTTTCCTGGGAAGCCTTGAAGCCCTGGCTCACCCTTGGGACCTGGTGGCCCCTGTGGCCCTACAACTCCACCTTCTCCTTTGGGTCCGGGAAAACCAATAGCACCTGGAGGGCCCATAGGACCTGGGATTCCAGGCAGGCCTGGCTCTCCTGGAGGACCCCCCATTCCAGGGGCACCTACTGGTCCTTTCTCCCCCCTTGGTCCAAGGGCCCCAGGAACACCCCCTATGCCCTTGTCACCTTTGGGTCCTGGGAAGCCTGGTTTCCCGATCCCTGGAAGGCCTGGGGGTCCTGGCAGCCCTGGCAGTCCTTGCTCCCCTTTGCCACCTGGAAATCCTGGCTGGCCAGGGATCCCATCCTGGCCTGGTTTTCCAACTCCAGGCATCCCAGGAGGTCCCTGAACCCCTGGTATCCCAACAGGACCCTGTGGCCCAGGTTCACCTGGAGGACCTGGCTTTCCCAGGGGACCCTGGGGTCCAGGGAAGCCTGTCACTCCTGGTTTGCCCACTCCTGGAAGTCCGACAGGGCCAGGAGGGCCATGCATCCCTGGAGGACCTTTCAGGCCTGGCAGACCTGGCATCCCGAAGCCCTTCTCTCCTTTAGGACCCTGAAGGCCTGGAGGTCCTGGTGGTCCTTTGAGTCCTCTCTCACCCTTTGGGCCTGGTTGCCCTGGTAACCCAGGTCCACCTGGCTTCCCAATGCCAGGAAGTCCATGAGGCCCTGGTGGTCCCTGTGGTCCTGGGATCCCCATGGGCCCAATCTCCCCTTTGGGTCCAATTTCACCTTTTGCCCCTGGCATTCCCATGGCACCTGGCTTTCCTGGCATTCCAGGCATACCTGGCTTTCCAATTCCTGGATATCCCTGTGGCCCTGGTTTTCCTTTGATTCCAGGTATCCCATGACCCGGTAAACCGGGGGGCCCAGGTGGTCCTCTTGGGCCAGGCTCTCCACGAGGACCTTGTTCCCCTCTTAAACTGGCTAACGGTGCTTCTACTGGGAAAGAGGAGAGAGAAAGAGGGTGAGAGTGTGAGAGGGAGGGAGGGGGAGAGAGAGAGAGAGAGAGAGAGAGAGAGAGAGTTATCCTCCGCTTTAAGGAAATCATGACAATGATTATTTACTTCTGGCACATTTGCCTATTACTTATTGAAAGACAGAATAATATGCTCATCTTCCAGGACTGTAAGTTATCAGTACTTAAAGGATAATCAAGATGATAATTTCTTTGACATATTTGAGATAGTGTTTTAAGAACTGATATCTTCAGCTACTTTTATCAGCATTGGTTAAGTGAAAAAGCCGAAAAGTAGTAAACATTTTTCCAAGTTTAAAACTTGGAGATATTGTGGTATATTCACTATTGGTAATTTAGAAAATTCAAAATAGATACACAAAAAAATCAAGGTTGCTTAGAAGCCCACTACTAAGAGATAATCACTTGACATTTACATATGTATCTCCATTTGTGTGTGTGTGTGTATTTTAAACAATGCTGAAGTCATTCTCCTTTTTGTTTTTTCACTATTTATTGTTATACTGTATTTTTCTATGTCCTTGATTTTTTTTAATGTAGTAATTTATGGCAAAAAATATCTTCTCATGTGCAAAAATACAGTATGATGTGGATGATGAAAGCCATTATGTGGACTCTAAGAAGAACTGAAGCATTTTATTTTGTGGTTTAATAACATCTTCCACATCTGTCCTCTAGAGTCAGAGTTGCTTAATTTCTTCAATCTGCTGTAGATTTCCTAAGCCTCAAACATTCATTCTTTAATGTTATTTCTCATTTTCAAATCTGGTTTTTAAACAGGAGAAGTGGATAAAAAATGCTTTAGGATTTTAGAATGACAGGCAGTGTGGATATGGACTAGAGCTGGAATTAGGAGCAGGAAGCTCAGCTTTTCTTCCTGATCTTGAAATGGGATCTTCTTTGGGTCACTGAAGCCATCAGCATCTCCGCTCGCCCATCTGTACAGTGAGAGTAATACACCCACACTACAACATTAGGTAGTGGATATGAATGTGTTATGCTTTCTCAAATGGTTATTGGAATACAGAGCACATGTTATTATAAATGATTATGCTATGCCTTGCAGAGAAACTTAACTCTGGATGCCCCCGTGCTACTGGGAGTAATGAACAACATAAAGAAGTGAAATTGATGGTCCCAAAGTCTTATTTCGACCAGTGGTCGCATCTTAATTCTGACCATTGTATTTTTCACTGAACTACTGTCAGGGAACAAAATAGAACCACAGAACTATTCCTTCCAAATTCCCTGATTGAAATCTGGTTCCCATCTGAGTAAGTGCAGGAAATGCCAAAAACCGGGCAAGCCATTCAAGAAAGGGAGGAAAACAAATAGCCGAGATAATCTTCATAGCGGAATATCAGCTCCTAAAAAGATAATTGGGAATGCTTCTTTTATGCTAATAGATTAAGACGTGTTATTTCTAACAAACTGTAGAAATGACCCCAGAAAGTAGAGTCTTGGCCTGTTATTTCTAGGCAATGAATTGGGTAGCTACTATACCAAGGGGGTGTTTGGGACAGGGTCACGTCTTATTCATCAAGAATCCCTGGTGTCTAGCACAGTGCCTGGAACTTACTGTGTTCTTACTAAGGGTTTGTTGGGTGACCAGTTATAGCAACTCAAAGTTTGTATGGTGCTTTTGTGATAACTTAACACTTTTATTTATCTTGTGTTATTGATTCTCTCAACAATCTTACTTTACAGTTGAAGAAAAGTAGTTTCAGACAGGTTAAATGACTAGGTCTCCTTCATTTCTGGACTCCAGGCATCCAGGCTTCTTAGTGCCACATCCAGTCATTTCCAGGAGTAAAGCTTCTGCTTCTGCAGGGACCCACAAGATGGCCTCCACTCCCTCAAAGGGAGTTGCTACTCTGATGCAATTCTTTCCCTACAAGTGCTAGGTTTCCGAGAACTCCAGATAAACCAACTGAATTTGTAAGAAAATGTCTCTTACAGTGGTAGGCATTTTACAGGTGTTGAATAACTATGCCTAGAAAGTAATGGGAGAGATTTCCAGCTGTTATCTCCAGATGCAGTCCATACTCCTTATTCTCCTATTGATGGATTGATTGACATCTGTAGTAACTTCATTAGAGCAGTCTTAAAAACAACTGCATTTATCTAACACCTAGTTCACAAAATGCCTTCATACGATTTTTTTTTTTTTTTTAACACTGCAGGTCCATATGACACTGCTCTTCTAGTTGAGAATGTTGAGGGTCACCTTTCCATTTTTTCACTGCTGTTTCCCCAGCATATAGTTCAGAGCCTGGCACAAAAATAGATGCCCATTAAATAACTGCCAAATGCTTAAAGAAATATGTACTGAATGAAGAAATAAACTATTTGTTAATAAATCGTTTTCTGTCTTTTGATGCTGTTAAAATAAAGCACAACATAAAATGGTAATTTTGTCTGTATCTTTAAGACTTGAACTATTCAAGGATAGAGTTTAGAACACAGTCTTGCATTTAGTAAACATTAATAATACATTCTAAAATAAAAATTTCTGAAGTTTAGCTCCCCACTCCCTCCCCAGCCACTCTCAGAGTTTAGGGTTTGGAAGGCTGCTCTATGGTAGCCCAGGAGTAAGATGTTACCTTTGCCTTTCTTGGGAGCTGCTTCCTTGCTCATTCTTGGCATCGGCTGAATTTCCTTCATATATTGGGGTAGATGTGGATACTCTTTGCCATACTGCATATGGGGAAGCTCTTTGCCCATGGTAAGGCCATCTTTGCTCAAAGGCATGTGAGGTACTTGCTGGCCCAGGGGCTGGTATTGTGGAATTTGCGGTGGGATCTGAGGAGGAATTTGAGGCAGCGGCTTGATCCCATAGTAGGCACCGGCCTGAATGAGCCTGATGGAGCCCAGGGAAATGGTGAGCAGCACTCCCAGCAGTTGCAGAGGGGCAGGTGGCACAGCCATCACCTGTAGAGAAGGGAGGAAGGCACCAACATGGTGAGACCTGCAGGCCAAGTGATTGGAGTGTATTTAGAGAAAGAAGAAAAAGTAAACCAAGAAAACACAGTCTTGCCCTGGCCAGTGTGGCTCAGTGGTTAGAGTGTCAGGCCGCGGACCAATCAGTCTCAGGTTCGATCCCAATCAAGGGCACGTACCTCGGTTGTGGTTCCTCCTGGTCCTGGTCAGGTCGTGCGGGAGGCAGCCAGTCAATGTGTCTCTCTCACATGGATGTTTCTCTCTCTCTCTCTCCCTGCCTCCCACTCTGATGATAAATGGAAGAATATCCATTTATGAAGATTAAAAATAAAAAAAAGAAAGAAAACAGAGTCTTTATTATCAGAACCTCATGAGTAGAAGACAAATAAAAAGAAAGATGTTAGCTTTCAATAGAAAGCAAAACAAACAAACAAATCAAACAAAACCAGAAAAGGGTAGGGTCTGTCAAATGAAGGCAGTTGGTAGGACTGTAGGTTATAGGAGAGACTACTAGTTGTCCCTGAATATCAACACTGTCTTCTTCCATACTATTGCAACCCCTGAGTTTCAGCTGGAACAGAGCAGCCTAGAACAAAGGCCTTTCAGTCAAGCATAGCCATGTGACAAAGTTCTAGCCAATTGGATGTAATTGTAATAGGGGCATCTTCTAAGAAGGATCCTAAAGGTGAGGGCTATGTTCTTCCTCTTCACCCTTCCTGCCCGCTAAAATTGGGTATATTGACTGGAAACAGATCAGGCACTTTGGTCCCTGAGGTGAAAAGCTGTGCACTGGGGAACAACGTGCTAGAAGAAGCCTAGGTCCTGGTTGAACATGGAGGAATTATATCGATCTTTAAATTTGGAATTTGTTTATTAAAGAGAGCAATAAAATCTACCTTCTTGAAAACACATGTCACACACTTGCACTAAACTTAATCCCAGCAGTCGTTTGTCCAGAAGGAGGCGAACTTGGTGGAAAGCCAGGCTTTGTTAGTAAGTGCTGAAGTTCTATTCTAATGGAAAACGTGATAATTTAGAGGCTTGATGCCAGAGGTGGAGGTTTTTTATCTGCCAGATTCTCTTTGGCTGCTTCAGTGTGGTCACAAATAACTATAAATGTAAAGACCAAACAACAACAAAAACTGCAGAAGTCTGAATTGTAAAGAAAGTTCTTCATGTGATAGTCTCAAAATGTCACTACAAAAGTCACTATCATAACTATGCACACACAGGGGTGACATTTCTTTCTTCTAGTTAAATACTGTGAAGTCACTCATGTAAAATTTGGCTAATTGGATCTGAAGTCCATTAAAATTTGTCTTTGTACTATTGTGAAAGAAAGGAGTTTACAAAGCAAATTAGTTGTATAAATAAGATAGAGATGTTTAAATACTCATAAGAATAAACTGTTTCTAATCCCTTTAATAACACCCTTGGCAAATTAACAGTTGACAGAATAAGTATAAATGGAGCTTACGTATCTGTTTATAAAAACTAGTTTGAAAAGACCTTTGGAAATGTCCTGGGCTGAAGATCCAATAGCCCAGGGAACTGCAGTGTTCGCAAATGCCCACTAGACGGCAAGTGTGGTACACATTGAAGTCTGTTCAGTGACTCATCTCTAGTGCTAACACCAGGTATTTGCTTTGCTCTCTCCTTATTGGGGGACTTAATGAAAATCTGAATTCTAAGTGGAATCATCATAATGCTGAAGAAATCTGTGTGTGTGTGTTCGTGTGTGTGTGATAGAGAGAGACAGAGAGACAGAGAAAGATTTTAATGTATCTTCTGGAAAACAATTAAATAAGCTTCTGTCTAAATTATTTATTTATTTATTTATTTTTTATCCTCACCCGAGGATATTTTTCCATTTTTTGTACAGATAGAGTGGGAAGGAGAGAGAGGAAGGGAGAGAGAGAGAGAAACATCGATGTGAAGGGACACATCGATTGGCTGCCACCCGCACGACCAACCAGGGCCGGGGACAAACTGCAACCGAAGTACGTGCCCTTAGCGGGAACTGAACCTGGGTCTCTCCGGACTGCAGGCCGATGCTCTAACCGCTGAGCCAAACTGGCCAGGGCTAAATTATTTAATTTCCATTCTCCTGAGAGTTTGTTTTCTTTATTTAATTCTGGAGCATAGATTTCCACTTCTTAGAAAATGTGCATTGACTTTTGCAATATCCTATTCAAAAGTAATGCCAAGAGTGAACAGGCTACAGAATTGTTTAATAAAAAGCACCTAAGAAAATATTTAATTAAAGAATTCCTGCCACAACATTCACTGTTTTTCTAAATATACTAAATAGGAGGGAAAAAATTAAGAAACGTCTGTCAGCAAAATGATTTATAAAATTTTCTCCATTTCATAAATCAGAATAGTCTCAAGAACTATTATTTATTTCAGGTATACTATAAATAATTTATGTACTGATAAAATGGGAGAAGATAGAAAGCTATTATTTTCTGTCCTTCTAAGAATGATTAGTTGTCATAAACCATTTGAATAAAGCCACAAAATTATTACTGATTTATACTGAAAAATAGTTAAATTTATTTCAGGTGAAAAAAGAACATCTGCGTGTAAGTATTTAACAATAATTTATTGAGTACTTACCAGAAACAGTGCTACACCCACCTAGGGATTACAAAGAGGAGTATAATATGGTCAGTGGGGCCTGCCTTCAAAGACCTTATAATAGGAGTGACAGATGTATAAATTATTAATGAAGAGCAAAGAAAATCTAGGAAAAAATGATTTTCCCTTCCACTTCTGTTCTTTAGTATCTAAATCCCTTTCCTGTGAATCAACTCGCCCCATTTTTCTTCACATTTTTCCAGATATATCTTATGAATATGCACATATAATACATGCCCCTTTAAGACACAAATTACAGCATACCACATACACACTATTCCTTTCTGCTTTTTCACTCCGAACTTTCTCAACTCAGTTTTGTATATCTGTATAGATCCCTTCAACTCCTTCATTTGTTAAAAATCAGACTTAATTGTTCTCTAAAATCTTGTCTGGTCCTCATATTCAGCGTCTAAGGCAGTCACTAGAGAGGTAAAGGTGTTAATCCACACCAGAAATACGTGATAGTACCAGTTAATATATAAACTGGGACTTGATTCTACCTTTGGGGACGAATTAATTTAATTATTAAACCCTAAACTTGTGATGATGTCTTTAATAAGCTAGCACACTTGGCCCATCACCCTTCCATCAACACAGTGGATGTGTTGGATTATATTCAGTCAATAATCTTTAAACCAGGACAATCAAATGAAACACTGGAAAACCAGAAGAAGGCAAAATGCCGGGAAGAACCCCAGTTGAATACCAACAGCCCAATGGGATCCTGCTTGACCACAATTATTTCCTCTCGCAAGCTTGGCCATTCTCTCCTCAAAACTGCCTCCTTCTGTCTGCCATCTGCGACATTGCTCTGACTTTTTGTTTAAGTAAACTTTGTTCCATTCTAACTTGAATATTTATGTAGGAGCCCTGGTTAGAATTTACCGCTTGACTTATCCTTACTAATTTCCCTCTTGTCCCGGAGGATATTTTTGGTGGTCAAAGCGGTGTGGTGGTTCTCCCCCAATCACTCAAAGGAACATCCGATTTCTGTAACACTATACAAACACCTGGAGGGAAGAAGGCGTCTCAGTTCCTGCTGGGAAGAAACAGGGGGAGTGTGTTTTCTTTCCTCTTTTTTCTTTTTCTGAGGGCTCAGAACACAATAATGTTTTGAGTTCTGTTTGATGGGTTTTTTCCTTAGATTTCTATTTGATAATGTGTGTGTGAATATACATAAGTATAAATATGTATAATGTGTGTGGCACTGGCTCTCTGCCAGCCAGGCTGGCTTAGTAATGGGTGTCACGGCACATAGGAAAAGCATCCGAGAAGTCAGAAGACCTGCAGTTGACTTGTAACTCTGTGATTCTCCATGTCTATGACCTTGGACAAGTCCTGTATCTCTAGTCTCAGTCACCTTACCTACAAATTAGAAATTATGATCTCTGCCTCTCCCACAGAGCCGTTCAAGGGCACAAATGATAACATGAATTTTTTGTGAGCTGAAAAGAACTACTCAAATTTAAGTTATTATTAATGGAGCCTGACCAAAAAGAGAAAGCAAAACCAACTGAAATGTCAAAGATTTTCAAAGGAGGATACTAGCCAAAGTAAATGTGAGGTTAACTGCAATAATGATAAATCTAACATGAATAAAAAACAATGGCCATTAAAATACTCATATTAAAAATGCCCCCTCCCCCACAAAAGCAGTGGAACCAAGGTAGTAATTCATTCTAGTGTCAGAGTCCCCAATCCTAATCATTTTGAAGTCCTAAATGGTTCCCTAAATTTGGGCAGGGCTGCAGAATTTCAGTTTCCTCATTTGACCCATAATGTATGTAACAAAATAATGTGATATATATTATTTTAGATGCTCCTCAGCATTTTATTTGTACATTTATCCTCATGACATTTTAGCTTGCTTGAAAAATGTGTGGTATTCTTTTGACTTTCTCAATATTTACTGATGGATCCTCACAGTCAAAACTCTTAGTGTTGATAGGGGCTTTAGAAAACATCAAATTCAACCTCATTCCCCACTCAGAATCCTGTCTACAACAGATGCTGACAGAAAGTCCTCATATTTCTTCCTTAAATATTAATAATTATGGAAACTCACATTCTACTGTGGTAAGACAACCTATTACCTTGTGCAAAAATTGTTAATTTTTTTATTGGTTTATTTGTATTATCTGAGCAGCTTGTAAGAGAAACCCACCTTTTTAGACTCATAGATAGAAGTGCACATGTGGCTCACATTTAGTGGGGGGCCTGGAGGAGGGTATTAAAATATGTGTCCCCAAACTGGTTAAGGCAAAAGATGGATAGTCACAGGACCATTCATTGCCATGCAAATAAGCCCACCTTAGGGTCCTCTAACTAGGAAGATGTAACTTTGTTGC